CAGCTCCGGAGGTTGAGGAGCAGGAAGAAGACGGGGCATCCCTTCACAGAAGACCCGCAGTTATTATTCTCCGCAGCTCCGGAGGTTGAGGAGCAGGTAGAGGACAGGGCATCCCTTCACAGAAGACCCGCAGTTATTATTCTCCGCAGCTCCGGAATACTGGCCAATCACTAGGCCCAAGCATTGTCACATAACTGAGGGGGAGATTTTACTGCTACCTCTCTTCTGTCACCAACTGACTCCTGTTTTCTTGGTGGTGGCTGTGTTTGGGATGGAGCATTGTGATGGGGAGGCCATCATGCAGACACCAGTTGCTTTTCCCTGAGTGGGCAAAGTGACTATCTTATGAGTTACAATGCAATCACTGAATACAATACGCAAACTCTACTTCTTCACTAACAGATCCGCAGTTGAAGACCGGTGCTCCTGGCTGGGATGTGCAATCTCCAATACTTGAACCGTAATGGATATAAGCTGGCTACTCGGTGTACTCCAAAATCCAAGTCTTTGTTAGCTGCATATAAAATACACAGAGCGCACAACTAACGCATTTTGGCCAAGATGGCCTTTGTCATAGCAGTGAGGAAGGCCATCATGTCTGAAACGCGTTAGTGGTGAACGATTTTGTTTGGATTTTGGAGTACACTGAGTAGCCGGCTGATATTCATTACGGTATAAGTTACAATAGGTTACCATAAAAATATAATGCTAGAGTATCCCTTTAACCCTTTAATGCCTGAGGCATTGTTTAGTCAATGCCAGAGGCGGTCCACCGGCTTCTTGATCATGTGATTGACTGTCATCGTATTCATGTGATCAGGAGTTTGTCCTACTGGCTCCCGATTGTTAGTCTGTGAATTGGAGCTGTCAGTGACAGCGCGGTCACAGTGCTGGGGGGTGCCTAGTAAACCATGATACATATATGTGGCAGCACAGAGTAAGGTCCGCCTCCATGCTGCCACATATATGTACACGGCTGGCAGAAAAGGGTTATTTATCACGGATACGTGATAATTTAACTTCTTCACGCCGGCCAAACGCAAATGTGTGGCCTCCTGATGTCTGGGCCTAGACGCTGAGCGGCCGCACAATTGCATTATTTAAAAAATAACGTGCTGAGAGCGCGTGCCCTGTGCGCTCCCAGCACACATGTCCGGTACCTACGGAAAGGTCCCGATCTCCTCTTTCGATCGGGACCTTTCCCGATCATGTGACGGCATGTCACGGAGGTCACATGATCCTAAACCCCGCCTCCCGGCTTCTGAAACCCTTAAAGCGCCGGCGCAAAGGGGTTATGTTTTTTGGGTTGCATTCGAGATGTTCAAAGAGAGATCACATAAACACTTGTATGTGTAACATTTCATTATGTAATCTGGCAAATGAGGTTTAATATTGATAAATGTAAAGGTATGCACTTGGGGGCTAAGAATATGCATGCATCATACATACTATGGGGGGGGGGGGGGGTCAGTGGTGAAGGATCTGGGGGAGTCAATGGTGGAGAAGGATCTGGGGGGTTCTGGTAGATCAACGGCATATGGAGTTCTAAAGGATCTTGTATTAGGAGAGATATAGACTCCAGAGAGAGGGATCTCCATGTATAATACATAAGGGGGGGATATGATCACCATGTATAATACATCAAGGGGGATATGATCTCCATGTATAATACATAAGGGGGGATATGATCTCCATGTATAATACATAAGGGGGATATTGATCACCATGTATAATACATAAGGGGGGGGATATGATCTCCATGTATAATACATAAGGGGGATATGATCTCATACATGTATTAATAACATAAGGGGGATATGATTCCATGTATAATACAGAAGGGGGGATATGATCTCCATGTATAATAATTAGGGGGATATGATCTCCATGTATAAATACATGGATATGATCTCCATGTATAAATACATAAGGGGGATATGATCTACATGTATAATACATAAGGGGGGATATGATCTCCATGTATAATACATAAGGGGGGATACAATCACCATGTATAATACATAAGGGGGGATATGATCTCCATGTATAATACATAAGGGGGATTGATCTCCATGTATAATACATAAGGGGGGATATGATCTCCATGTATAATACATAAGGGGGGATATGATCTCCATGTATAATACATAAGGGGGATATGATCTCCATGTATAATACATAAGGGGGGATATGATCTCCATGTATAATACATAAGGGGGATACTCTCCATGTATAATACATAAGGGGGGATATGATCTCCATGTATAATACATAAGGGGGGGATATGATCTCCATGTATATATACATAAGGGGGGATATGATCTCCATGTATAATACATAAGGGGGGATATGATCTCCATGTATAATACATAAGGGGGGATATGATCTCCATGTATAATACATAAGGGGGATATGATCTCCATGTATAATACATAAGGGGGGATATGATCTCCATGTATAATACATAAGGGGGATATGATCTCCATGTTATAATACATAAGGGGGATATGATCTCCATGTATAATACATAAGGATCTCCATGTATAATACATAAGGGGGATATGATCTCCATGTATAATACATAAGGGGGGATATGATCTCCATGTATAATACATAAGGGGGATATGATCTCCATGTATAATACATAAGGGGGGATATGATCTCCCTGTATAATACATAAGGGGGGATATGATCTCCATGTATAATACATAAGGGGGGATATGATCTCCATGTAAAATACATAAGGGGGGGATATGATCTCCATGTATAATACATAAGGGGGGGGGATATGATCTCCATGTATAATACATAAGGGGGGGGATATGATCTCCATGTATATACATAAGGGGGGATATACATAATGGGGGGGATATGATCTCCATGTATAATACATAAGGGGGGATATGATCACCATGTATAATACATAAGGGGGGATATGATCTCCATGTATAATACATAAGGGGGGATATGATCTCCATGTATAATACATAAGGGGGGATATGATCTCCATGTATAATACATAAGGGGGGGATATGATCTCCATGTATAATACATAAAGGGGGGATATGATCTCCATGTATAATACATAAGGGGGGATATGATCTCCATGTATAATACATAATAGGGGGGATATGATCTCCATGTATAAATACATCTCCATGTATAATACATAAGGGGGGATATGATCTCCATGTATAATACATAGGGGGGATATGATCTCCATGCATAATACATAAGGGGGATATGATCCATGTATAATACATAAGGGGGATATGATCTCCATGTAAAATATATAAGGGGGGATATGATCTCCATGTAAAATACATAAGGGGGGGTATGATCTCCATGTATAATACATAAAGGGGGGGATATGATCTCCATGTATAATACATAAGGGGGGGGATATGATCTCCATGTATAATACATAAGGGGGGGATATGATCTCCATGTATAATACATAAGGGGGGGTATGATCTCCATGTATAATACATAAGGGGGGATATGATCTCCATGTATAATACATAAGGGGGGGATATGATCTCCATGTATAATACATAAGGGGGGGATATGATTCCATGTATAATACATAAGGGGGGATATGATCTCCATGTATAATACATAAGGGGGGATATGATCTACCATGTATAATACATCCATGATCTCCATTGGCATAATACATAAGGGGGGATATGATCTCCATGCGATAATACATAAGGGGGGATATGATCTCCATGCATAATACATAAGGGGGATATGATCTCCATGTATAATACATAAGGGGGGGATATGATCTCCATGTATAATACATAAGGGGGGATATGATCTCCATGTAATAATAAGGGGGGATATGATCTCATGTATATATTCATCACAGAGAACAAGGGGGCGCTCTTTACATCTGGAGGAAAAGAAATGTAATCTCCAAACACGGAAAGGTTTCTTCACAGTAAGAGCTGTGAGAATGTGGAATAGACTCCCTCCAGAGTTGGGTGTGGCCAGCTCAGTGGATTGCTGTAGGAAAGTCCTGGATTCTTTCTTCGATACACAGAATATAACTGGATATAACATTTATAGGGAAAGTTGATCCAGGGAATATCCGATTGCCTCTCGGGGGATTAGGAAGGAATTTTTTTCACAGCAGGAGTAAATTGAATCGTGCTTTGCTGGGTTTTTTGCCTTCCTCTGGATCAACTGTGGGTGTAGGATTATAACTTTTTTTATTTTATTTTTGAACTGGATGGACTTTTGTATTTTTTAGCCAGACTAACTATGTAACTATGACAGATGCAGATGAAGAAAGTATCAATATTAGAACATATAACAAGAATGCTTAACTAAAGATGCTGTTTCCCCACGGAGTCCTGCCCGTTTGCATGACATGGCACAGACGATCACATACACATGCATGGTAGCAGCACTGATATGAGACTGAATATTCCAAGGTATAGCTGTAGTATATACAGAACTGGTATGTGAGTAAATGACCAGTTGTAGAGAAGAAAGTGGACTCTGCCTCATCCTGGTCAGTTAAAAATGACATTTCTTTGGTATGAAGTTGTGACGGGAGTCACTTTGGGAGGGGGGGGCCATGGAACACAGCTCACTTTGGAGGGGTGGGGAGATCCCTGTCTCAGCTCCCCATATCCCTCTTATGTGTAAGTCACCCTGTTCCCAAATGTAACGAAACTGGACCCCGACTGCACTTGGGTATTTCCGTTATAATACCGCTTCCCTGTCCGAACACTGACCACGGACACCACTCTTGAACGAAACCAGGAAATAGACTACTTTATTTTAGCACAGATACAAGATATATACACAGGGCAGGGCAATACATTTAGTAACAAGAGACACACAGCAGACACCCACCACCCAGCCAATACACAAACACAATACATCCCATAATAGTTTGCTCCCAAGCAAGACACACAATAGAACAATGGGATGCAACCACATGGCATTAAACAATGAACAACCCCCCACCCCAATATCAGGACAGATCACCCTGTACCCCTAACAGGCACAGGGTGACTTACACATAGGAGGGATATGGGGAGCTGAGACAGGGGTCTCCCTACCCCTCCAAAGTGAGCTGTGTTCCATGGGCCCCCCCACCCAAAGCGACTCCCGTCACAGAAGTCAGCTAAGGTAAAGCCCATTCCTAAGTCGTTTCATGGCCCCTTACCCAGGATTTGGAGGCTTTCTTGGAAATTGTGACACAATTTTATAAGGAAAGAGGGAAATTGCATGTTTCATATCAGGGGTTAAATGGCGTATCTTGTCTGGTGTGTTCACATGGCATCATCTTGAGAGATCACTGGATTACGTCTCATACCAGCCAGCACAGGCCAGTCTGGTGAAAACGGCGAGGTCTCCTGAGGTCTCTTGCGCCAGCTCTTTCAAATTCTTTCCTTGCAACGAAAAGTTGTCTGCCATCAGTCACCATCAGAAAACTCCTCCATCAGACACATCCATTTCTACTTCCTACAAAGCGGGTTCAGGCACCTCTCTCCACGCCGACTCCATAAACACCCCGCCGGGCTGTCAATACAAAGATTTATTACCCAACCGCCGGCGAGGGCGAATGGAAATGTATCAAGTGCTGCCAGCCCGACTCAGAATTACTTGTCAAAACTCACAAGTTCCCCTTCTCTCACCCCCACGCTGACACTGTGTAGTAATTGCCGGATACCTGCACAAGACGTCACGCCGTTCTGTCACTACGCCTTTAGCTAATGAGCCACTCATCGCAAACAGGAGTAACTGCGAGGCGTACGAGTGCGTCGCTGTGGCTGCAGATACCGCCATCCTTTCATTCAAGAAGAGTTATTATCTCCAGATCGGTTCACGCTTAACATGTTCCCGCCACCCTAATTTACTACACGAAGAGTTATGCGATTGTCTTTCTGAACATTACTTTCAGATTTCTCAGATTTCTCTTCATCCTTCATGAAATGTGACAGGGGGAATATTTTAAGCGTTCTTATGTCTCTCAGTCTCGGACAGCAGAGTTTGGCCTACAGAGCTGACAATCTAAATGACGGACAGAACTATCTTAAGTAAAGTTTAGTCTTGGAGAAGGTTGTGGAGGTACAGGGTAGATGGGAGTATTTCCACGTATAGAAGAAATGAAGATATACTCCGTAATTCTCCTAATTGTGATTTGGGAGACGGTTTATCCCTTCCATCTAGTCACTGTCATAGAACATTGTGTCCCAGGAGTGACTGACCCCCACAAAATCCACCTCCATAGATTATTCTGACCACTGAAACAATCCACCGCCATAGATCATTCTGGCCCTGAAACAATCCACCGCCATCACAATCCACCGCCATAGATTATTCTGACCCTGAAATCAATCCACCATAGATCATTCTGACCCCTGAATCAATCCACCGCCATAGATCATTCTGACCCCTGAAACAATCCACCGCCATAGATCATTCTGACCCCTGAAGCAATCCACCAACCATAGATCATTCTGACCCCTGAAACAATCCACCGCCGTAACAATCCACCACCATAGATTATTCTGACCCCTGAAATCAATCCACCACCATAGATCATTCTGACCCCTGAAAGCAATCCACTGCCATAGATCATTCTGACCCCTGAAACAATCCACCACCATAGATCATTTCTGACCCCTGAAACAATCCACCACCATAGATCATTCTGACCCCTGAAAAAATCACCACCATAGATCATTCTGACCCCTGAAACAATCCACCGCCATAGATCATTCTGTCCCCTGAAACAATCCACCGCCATAGATCATTCTGACCCCTGAAACAATCCACCATCATAGATCATTCTGACCCCTAAAACAATCCACCGCCATAGATTCATTCTGACCCCTGAAACAACCACCTGCCATAGATCATTCTGACCCCTGAAACAATCCACCGCCATAGATCATTCTGACCCCTGAAACAATCCACCGCCATAGATCATTTTGACCCCTGAAACAATCCACCGCCATAGATCATTCTGACCCCTGAAACAATCCACCGCCATAGATCATTCTGACCCCTGAAACAATCCACGCCATAGATCATTCTGACCCTGAAACAATCCACCGTCATAGATCATTCTGACCCCTGAAACAACCCACCACCATAGATCATTGTGACCCCTGAAACAATCCACCATCATAGATCATGCTGACCCTGAAAAACATCCACCATTCATAGATCATTGCTGACCCTAAAACAATCCACCATCATAGATCATGCTGACCTTGAAAAGATCCACCATCATAGAACATTGTGACCCAGGAAGAACTGACCTCAAAGCAATCCACCGCCATAGATCATTCTGACCCCAAAACAATCCACCACCATAGAACATTTCTGACCCCAAAACAATACACCACCATAGATCATTCTGACCCTGAAACAATCCATTGCCATAGATCATACTGACCCTGAAACTATCCACCAACATAGAACATTGTGACCCAGGAAGAACTGACCCCAAAGCAATCCACCACCATAGAACATTCTGACCCCAAAACAATCCACTGCCATGGATCATACTGGCCCTGAAAAAGATCCACCATCATAGAACAATCTTATCCAAAACAATCCACTATCATAGATCATTCTGACCCAAGAAGGGCTGACTCAGAAAATAATCCTCTGTCACAGAACCTTTCTGATCCATGAAGGGTTTACCCAGAACCAATCCATCATCATAGAACGTTCTGACCCCAAGAAGGACTGACCACAAAACAATATACTATCTTAGAGCATACTGACTCCAAAACAATGCTCATCATATAATATTTGACCCAGAAAGGGCTGACCCCAAAATGAGCCCACTGTCCCAAACATTCCAAACACCAAGGAATGTTAAACACCAAACAATTCGTAAAAAATGGCTTTTGAGATGATCCTTCTGGCAAGAATGGACCGACCCAAACAGTTTCTCCGCCAGAGAATATTATGGCCAAGGAAGAACTGGCTCCAAACAGTTCTCTGTCATAAACTTTCTGGCCCAGGAAGAACTAACTCCCCCCTTCAGCAGTTTCCTGTTCTAGAATATTCTGACCCATGAAGAGCCAATTCCTAAACAGTCCACCGTCATAGAACATAGTGATCCTGAAAGGTCCACTGTCCTAAACATTCCAACTAAGGTATTCAACATCAAGCAATTAAAAAGAAATTTGGGTTGATACTTCTGACCAACTTTGGACCGACCCAAACAGCTGTGTGCCAGAGAATATTCCGTTCAAGGAGGATTGACCCCAAACAGTTCCGTTCACCATTATATATTTGTTTGAACCCCCCCCCCTCCCATTTCCCATCCTAGTTCATTCTGACCCATGAAGGACTGATTGTAGAACAATTCACCTTCTCTGAACTGTGAGGCCAACTGTTCTGTTCACATATTATTTATGTTCAGAACCCACCCCCATCCTCCCATTTCCCATCCTAGTTCATTCTGACCCATAAAGGACTGATTGTAGAACAATTCACCTTCTCCGAACTATGAGACCAACCCATCACCGAACTTTCCACACACTGGTTTAAAGATTGAAACCAGCCTTGTAGTGGGAGTTCAGTACAATGAGGATGAAGAACTTATAGCTGACGTTTTATCTTTTTATATTTTGCTTTCCCCTATGTGAATTTCTCAACATGTACCCAACTGTGAGATACCGTAGGCAGTTGTTATGAAAATACATTGTGGTCATGTGATCACCCTTTTAAATCTGAAGTTTAAAGTGGTTCTAAAGGCTCAAGGTTGTCCCCCCCCCCCCCCCAGCACTTACCTGAGTCCCGTCCTGATCCAGCAATGATCAAGGCGAGAGCCTTGGTTCTCCAGGGACTCTCACTCCTGATTGGCTGAGACTGCAGCGGGAGCCATTTGTGCTCGCTGCTGTAAATCACAGCCAGTAAGCCATCGAGAGAGGGAGGGTGCTGGGCTGAGCCACCACTCTGTGTGAATGGACACTCGGAGCCACAGGTCAGGAGTGCACCCGCTCTGGTGCCCTATAGGAGGGAGGGGCCAGGAGTGTCAGTGGGGGACCCGAGAAGAGGACAATCCAGGCTGCTCTGTGCAGAACCATTACACAGAGCACTTAGTATCACTTTAAATCCCCTCCCATCCACATGCTGACGAGATTTGAAGAAAAAACTTTCCGTTTTATTTGTATACCTTATTTTAGACCTAGTGACATCATCAGTGGGTCTTTGAGCTTTTCTATGGGGGGGTCTCTTATGGCTGGTGGGAGGGGTTCGCAGGGGGCTGTACCTGAAAACATCACAGCACCCTGCCTCAGTACTTTTTTTTTTGGAGCTCTTAGTCCTAATGCAAGCAGCGGCCTTGGGAGGAGTTATGAAAATATCGAAATGCCTTGGTGGGTGGATGTCAGGTTGGTGAAGTGGGTGTTCCAAGGTAGGCTTTATTTGCATGCAGACCACCCTAGAAAATACCCGCCTAGCCTTCATGATTAAAAGAATTGAAATCCAATGAATGAAAGGGGCAGGGCAAGGGACAGTCAGGCTGGGAAGGAAAGGACTGATGATGCTGGATGTCTTCCAGCCAGGAAATGAGGAGGAGCTCCACCTGACTTGCTGCAGCTTCTAACCCATATGGAAGGAAAATATATTTGAACTGCTACAATTTTGACCATATTCAATATGTTTCAATATATATATACAGCGAAGGAAATGTGTATTTGCTCCCCTGCTGATGCTGAATGTTCACCCCTCACACAGAAATGATCGGTCTAACAATGGAATGTTCGCCCCTCACACAGAAATGATCGGTCTAAAAAATGGAATGTTCGGTGTAACACTGAGAGACAGAATACAACAACAAATTCAGCAGAAATGCGTCTAACAAATGATGACTGATCTGCATGTTCAGGAGGGAAATAAGGATTTGATCCCCTATCATTCAGCAGGATTTCTGGCTCCCAGGTGTCTTTCATACAGGTAACAAGCTGAGATTAGAAGCAGTTTCTTAAAGGGAGTGCTGCTAATCTCATTTTCTTACCTGTATAAAAGACACCTGTCCACAAGAGCAATGAAACCATCAGATTCCTAACTCTCCACCATGGCAAAGACCAAAGAGCTGTCCAAGGATGTCAGGGACAAGATGGTAGACCTACACAAGGCTGGACTGGGCTACCAAACTATGGCCAAGCAGCTTGGTGAGAAGGTGACAACAGTTGGTGCAATCATTCACAAATGGAAGAAACACAAAACAAGTGTCAGTCTCCCTAGGTCTGGTGCACCATGCAAGATCTCACCTCGTGGAGTGTCAATGATCATGAGAACAGTGAGGAATCATCCCAGAACTACACGTGAGGATCTTGTCAATGATCTCCAGGCAGCTGGGACCACAGTCACCAAGAGAACAATTGGTAACACACTACGCCGACAAGGACTGAAATCCTGCAGTGCCCGCAAGGTCCCTCTGCTCAAGAAAGCACATGTCCAGGCCCATCTGCTAATCTCATTGTGTTACCTGTATAACAGACACCTGTCCACAGGAGCAATCAAACAATCAGATTCCAAACTCTCCACCATGGCAAAGACCAAAGAGCTGTCCAAGGATGTCAGGAACAAGATGGTAGACCTACACAAGGCTGGACTGGGCCACCAAACTATGGCCAAGCAGCTGTTTGAAAAAGTGAGACCGTCCAAAATATCCAAGAGTTGGGAACTGTGGTGGAAAGACCTTCAATACAAGAAATGTCAAGTTAACTGAAATACCACTTTTCCATCTATAGATCCTGGAACGTCCTACTTGTCCGCTGAGATGCCTGCAGAACATACATATTGGTTCCTGATAGGATAACAGGATAATGAGTGATTTAACTTGGCACACGGAAGGACTGTGCTGCCACATTCCCCTAGAAGGATCCTCCAGCGCCATGCGCACGTTCCGTCCTCGGCCATTTGCGAGAGACAGGTTAAACGTCAGACGGCGATAGATGGCCCTTGTAGAATAATTACAGAAGCCACTGCCTTGTGTTGGTTGAGTGAGTTTAGAAAGAGTAGGAACTCAATCTTTCCCCTAATAGGGCTGTGACAGTTAGCGGCAGGCCGCGCGGCCCCCCTCGTGCTGCTGGCAGCATTGTCATTAAACACCAGGTAGCAGAGAACAGCCCTCAGAAAGCCCGCAGAACACGCAAGTTTGACAGCAGTGATTAGTCATCGCCGGGCTACCCAGACGTGTCACCCGGCAATCCGGATGGCTGCTTAAAGTGACTTATTGCCCCTGTCTGGGGCTCGCCATTGTGATTTGATAATCGGTAAATGTTTGTCAGAGATGAATTCGTTCCCTGATTTTGAGTTGTGTGCGGGGACAAAATGAAAAGCTCGCTCGCAGACGAGCGCCGTTTGTGGATTGAGCGACACAGGTTACACAACAAACAGAGCCCGTCTGGAAAAATAGAGCACAAAAAAAAGAAAAAAATGAAGAGCGTGAGCAAGTCCTGGACTATCTGCAACTCTACAGCCACCAAAGTAACAGGCCGAGTCACTGAGAGTAGGCTTCAGTCAGTGCCACCAACTGTCACCTCTATTGTCATAGATCCCCACCCTTCTCCCTCACAGCTGTCCTTTGTTTAGTCCGTATCCTCTCTCTTCCCCACAACTGTCACTTTAATTGTTAGATCCCCACCCTTCTCCCTTTTAGCTGTCCTTTATTTTGTCCCATATGCTCTCTCTTCCCTACAACTGTCACTTTTTTATTGGTATAGATCCCTACCCTTCTCCCTCACAGCTGTCCTATGTTTTGTCTCATATCCTCTCTCTTCCCCACAACTGTCACTTTTTTATTGTTATAGATCCCCACCCTTCTCCCTCACAGCTGTCCTTTGTTTTGTCCCGTATCCTCTCTCTTCCCCACAATTGTCACTTTAATTATTATAGATCCCCACCCTTCTTCCTCACAGCTGTCCTTTGTTTTGTCTCCTATCCTCTCTCTTTCCCACAACTGTCACTTTTATTGTTCTAGATCCATACCCTTCTCCCTCATAGCTGTCCTTTATTTTGTCCCATATCCTCTCTCTTCCCTACAACTGTCACTTTTTTTTTATTGTTATAGATCCCTACCCTTCTCCCTCACAGCTGTCCTTTGTTTTGTCCCGTATCCTCTCTTCCCCACAACTGTCACTTTAATTGTTATAGATCCCCACCCTTCTCCCTCATAGCTGTCCTTTATTTTGTCCCATATCCTCTCGCTTCCCCACAACTGCCACTTTTATTGTTATAGATCCCTACCTTTCTCCCACACAGCTGTCCTTTGTTTTGTCCCGTATCCCCTCCTGCAGCCATTGAGAAATAGCGTGTGAGCTGTGATTGGTCACAGCTTGTCACATGGTACAAGGCTGTTGTGAATAGCCCTGTACCATGTGATCTCTGTGATCATTCACAGATTTCACACGTAGTAAGCAATGATGTCAGAAGTGACATCTTGCTTACTACTCTGCATGTGATAACTGATTGGCCAATCAGTGATCACATAATCGGGACCTCGCAGAGAGGTCCTGTACGACGATCAGTGTTCCACTGTGTCCGGAGGACACAGCGGGCGCCAGATCGCGGTGCTGCGCGCTCCCAGGGAATGTGCACGAGCAGGGGGCGGGGAGGCCGTTTATAAACAGCCACCCGCCCCTGCACTGCCACCGTCCGGCCGTTTATATACAACAGCCGGACAGGAGGTGGTTAAGAGTGCTAAGTGTCATTTCTGTCTGCTGCCTCCTTCCTCTGCTATCAGCATAATTTTTGACACATTTTCCTGACACCAAGAGAGAAAGGGTGACGGGAGGTACCTCCAGCAGATTGACAGCCTCAGCTCTGTTCCTGTGAGCTGTTTGGAGGGGCTGTGTCCCTTCCCTCCAATCAACTCTCAGGCCTTTCCTCACTGAGCTCTGCAGAGTGTCATTCCAGCTCTCTGCCCCAAGACAAGCTTCATAAAGTCAGCAGTTTGAACAGATGAAGAGAAGAAAAGGCTACAGATAAACAGGTACAACTTATGTAGGAGGATCTCTGTGTGTCACCTGAGGATAGTCCTTTCATTGGGTCATTGGAAGGGTTTAAAACCGCTTTCAATACAACAAAAATTAAAAAGTCATGAAGACAGAATTGTAAAGCTGTAAATGAGAACAAACGAGACGTAAAGGGAAGATGAGAGGAAGGTAAATGCAGTGGCGGGAGGGGGAAGGCGAGGATCGGGGAATTGGCGCGGTACCGTCACGCGTTGTACAGTTTACCCTCGGGTCACACGTTAGTCACTAACGACGTGTAAAACAAGTGGTGTTGTGAGATTTCCCTGGCCGTTATGAAGACGTGTGATTTATTAGACTCATAAAAGAACATCAATTTGTCTGCCGTTTCCTGTGCAGCTTGTTAGCCGGATCTTCCCGTAGCCGGCCAGCGATCATCAGTCCCTGACAAGCTGGGGATGAAGCCCTGGAGAGCCATTCGTACAGCTTAGTTTGTGTTCCGGATAATGTGAGAATCCAGAGCTGGACCGATTACAAATCGCTGACAAGATGGCTGCGTGATTGTAGCGCAGGGGATTATTCCTTCCGTGCCGCGATCTGTCTGCTTGATGCTGTCACTCCGAGGTCATTGATACAGCTCCTCAGACAGGGCCTGCTGGGTCTTGTAGTCCAGGCGCAGCCGATAAGACGTAGATGTATTTTTGTATAATGGAGAACAGTAGCGCCTCCTTAAAACCGAAGGGATCTACATGTCTCATTTCCATCACAAATCTCAGAAATAGAGGATAATGGGCGTGGCCATGCAAATTATTCCCATTTGGCCCTTTTGGACAACAATTTATCCGGAACAGGTTTGTAGCCCAGATGCAGCCATTCTCAACCCAGGTTCTGTGGAAATCTATTGGGTTCCTGCATTGGTAGCTAGGGATCCTTTGATCTATGACTGTTGACCTCCCAATTTATAGCACCTACATAATTTCTGCCACTTGGCAGGGTCCACTGCAGGACACCAATGATACTTTTAGCTTTGTGCATTCTTCCCACTCGCCACCATTGTAAGGGGAAATATTCCCACTGACCCCCAATGTAAGGGACATTCTTCCCACTGATCACCAATATAAAGGGACATTCTTCCCACTGACCACCAATGTAAGGGACATTCTTCCCACTGATCACCAATGTTAAGGGACATTCTTCCCACTGACCCCCAATGTAAGGGACATTCTTCCCACTGACCCCCAATGTAAGGGACATTCTTCCCACTGACATTCTTCCCACTGACCACCAATGTAAGGGACATTCTTCCCACTGACCACCAATGTAAGGGACATTCTTCCCACTGACCACCAATGTAAGGGACATTCTTCCCACTGACCACCAATGTAAGGGACATTCTTCCCACTGACCACCAATGTAAGGGACATTCTTCCCACTGACCTCCAATGTAAGGGACATTCTCTTCCCACTGACCACCAATGTAAGGGACATTCTTCCACAATGGTCCAATGTAAGGGACATTCTTCCCACTGACCCCCAATGTAAGGGACATTCTTCCACTGACCCCCAATGTAAGGGACATTCTTCCCACTGACCCCCAATGTAAGGGACATTCTTCCCACTGACCCCCAATGTAAGGGACATTCTTCCCACTGACCACCAATGTAAGGGACATTCTTCCCACTGACCACCTGATTCTCCCACTGACCAATGTAAGGGACATTCTTCCCACTGACCACCAATGTAAGGGACATTCTTCCCACTGATCAAAACCAATGTAAGGGACATTCTTCCCACTGATCACCAATGTAAGGGACATTCTTCCCACTGATCACCAATGTAAGGGACATTCTTCCCACTGACCCCCAATGTAAGGGACATTTCTTCCCACTGACCCCCAATGTAAGGGACATTCTTTCCCACTGACCCCCAATGTAAGGGACATTCTTCCCACTGACCACCAATGTAAGGGACATTCTTCCCACTGACCCCAATGTAAGGGACCATTCTTCCCACTGACCCCCCAATGTAAGGGACATTCTTCCCACTGACCACCAATGTAAGGGACATTCTTCCCACTGACCTCCAATGTAAGGGACATTCTTCCCACTGATCACCAATGTAAGGGACATTCTTCCCACTGACCACCAATGTAAGGGACATTCTTCCCACTGACCTCCAATGTAAGGGACATTCTTCCCACTGATCACCAATGTAAGGGACATTCTTCCCACTGACCTCCAATGTAAGGGACATTCTTCCCACTGACCACCAATGTAAGGGACATTCTTCCCACTGACCACCAATGTAAGGGACATTCTTCCCACTGACCTCCAATGTAAGGGACATTCTTCTCAATGGTCACCAATGTAAGGGACATTCTTCCCACTGACCCCCAATGTAAGGGACATTCTTCCACTGACCCCCAATGTAAGGGACATTCTTCCCACTGACCCCCAATGTAAGAGGACATTCTTCCCACTGACCCCCAATGTAAGGGACATTCTTCCCACTGACCCACCAATGTAAGGGACATTCTTCCCACTGATCACCAATGTAAGGGACATTCTTCCCACTGATCACCAATGTAAGGGACATTCTTCCCACTGATCACCAATGTAAGGGACATTCTTCCCACTGACCCCCAATGTAAGGGACATTCTTTCCCACTGACCCCCAATGTAAGGGACATTCTTCCCACTGACCCCAATGTAAGGACATTCTTCCCACTGACCACCAATGTGTAAGGGACAATTTTCCCACTGACCTCCAATGTAAGGGACATTCTTCCCACTGATCACAAATGTAAGGGACATTCTTCCCACTGACCTCCAATGTAAGGGACATTCTTCCCACTGATCACCAATGTAAGGGACATTCTTCCCCACTGACCCCCAATGTAAGGGACATTCTTCCCACTGACCACCAATGTAAGGGACATTCTTCCCACTGACCTCCCAATGTAAGGGACATTCTTCCCACTGACCACCTATGTAAGGGACATTCTTCTCAATGGTCCCCAAATGTAAGGGACATTCTTCCCACTGACCCCAATGTTAGGGACATTCTTCCCACTGACCCCAATGTAAGGGACATTCTTCCCATTGACCACCAATGTAAGGGACATTCTTCCCACTGACGCCCCAATGTAAGGGACATTCTTCCCACTGACCCCCAATGTAAGGGACATTCTCCCACTGATCACCAATGTAAGGGACATTCTTCTCACTGACCCCCAATGTAAGGGACATTCTTCCCACTGACCCCAATGTAAGGGACATTCTTCCCACTGACCCCCAATGTAAAGGGACATTCTTCCCACTGATCACCAATGTAAGGGACATTCTTCCCACTGATCACCAATGTAAGGGACATTCTTCCCACTGACCCCCAATGTAAGGGACATTTTCCTCACCCACTGACCACCAATGTAAAGGGACATTCTTCCCACTGACCCCAATGTAAGGGGACATTCTTCCCACTGACCCCCAATGTAAGGGACATTCTTCCCACTGACCCCCAATGTAAGGGACATTCTTACCCACTGATCACCAATGTAAGGGACATTCTTCCCACTGACCACCAATGTAAGGGACATTCTTCCCACTGATCACCAATGTAAGAAGCATTCCTTTTCCCACTGACCCCCAATGTAAGGGACATTCTTCCCACTGACCCCCAATGTAAGGGACATTCTTCCCACTGACCCCCCCAATGTAAGGGACATTCTTCCCACTGATCACCAATGTAAGGGACATTCTTCCCACTGATCACCAATGTAAGGGACATTCTTCCCACTGACCCCCAATGTAAGGGACATTCTTCCCACTGACCCCCAATGTAAGGGACATTCTTCCCACTGAGCTCAAATGTAAGGAACATTATTTCCATTGAAGAACAATGTAAGGTGAATTCTCTCCATTGACCACCAATGGAAGGGGTCTTCTTCCCACTGGCCACCGTTGTAAGGGACAGTTTTCCTAATGACTCCAATAAATTGGTTTTAATAGGGTTTCCCTGAGACCTGGAAACTATTTGAAGTGTTCCTCTGAGGTAAAATGGTGAAAATCTGCTATAGAGCCTTGGTGCCTAAGATGTGGCCCGTCAGCACTCGGTACGCAGTCCACTGGGCTCCAGCCCTCTAAGCACAACGAACTGCCTTCAGAGTGACAGTGGCTCTGGTGGGCTTTAGCGCTGGAACTGCTGGCTGTCAGTAGCAGCTGAGTTCCAGCAATAGGCATAGAGGCTTAAGCGATGAGCTCCTGGGCTTCTGCTTCTTCTACTGAGCACTCCAGAGGAGCGCTGGTAAGGGGCCATCTAAACCCAATGCAGGGCAATGCTTTCATACTGTGAAGTACCACCCACACCCAACAGACTGGGGGCTCGTCCCTGACATCAAGGAAAACATATAAACTGCTCTAAAAACAAAAGTGCCTTCTTGTTCATAATATAATCGCATAAACTGCCAACACGTGTCAGGAATAATAAAACTTCCTCATCAGGGCCTAGAACAGGGGGTGTCCAACTGGTGGGCCACCAGCTGTTGCCAAACTACAAGTCCCATCATGCCTCTGCCCTTGGGGTCATGCTTGTAACTGTCAGTCTTGCAATACCTCATGGGACTTGTAGTTTGGCAACAGCTGGACAGCTGCCAGTTTGACACTCGTGGCCTAGAAGAATGAAATAGAACTTGAATGGACTCAAAGGAGACTGCAACCACATGGATCTAGATTTGGCCTGGTGCTGGACCTTTGTATGACTTGGAATTGTATATTCAGCAGAGAACTTCAGCCGTGGCCTGTCACCTGGTCCCACCTCTCCCTATGATCCAGCTGACTCCCAGCAAGTGGACATTGGGGACATTTGTCTCCTGTACCACCTGGAACCAGATCCCTCCTGTCACCTGGTCCCACCTCTCCCCATGTTCCAGCTGACTCCCAGCATGTGGACATTGAGGACATTTTTCTCCTGTACCACCTGGAACCTGATCCCTCCTGTCACCTGGTGCCGCCTCTCCCCATGTTCCAGCTGACTCCCAGCAAGTGGACATTGGGGACATTTGTCTCCTGTACCACCTGGAACCTGATCACTCCTGTCACCTGGTGCCGCCTCTCCCCATGTTCCAGCTGACTCCCAGCAAGTGGACATTGGGGACATTTGTCTCCTGTACCACCTGGAACCTGATCCCTCCTGTCACCTGGTGCCGCCTCTCCCCATGTTCCAGCTGACTCCCAGCAAGTGGACATTGGGGACATTTGTCTCCTGTACCACCTGGAACCAGATCCCTCCTGTCACCTGGTCCTGCCTCTCTCCATGTTCCAGCTGACCCCCAGCTAGTGGACATTAGGGACATTTGTCTCCTGTACCACCTGGAACCAGATCCCTCCTGTCACCGCTCATCAGTCACATGACATCTTCTGCCCGATCACCTAAGTGACACCATGCCTGTCCTAGTGGGGTTTGCGGGACCCTCAGCTCCTCATATCCGAGCAATCACGGATGCGTTGAGCCCATTATTACATGGCTGCAGATACATGGGAGCACATACAGATATTCTGGCTGTCAGGCCTGGTCCTGATTTCCAGGAACAGTGTCCGTTCTCTAAGAACTGTCTCCCGAAAAGTTCTGATCACCTCCTTATTAGTTCACGTCTGTACATTTCTGAGTGCAATCCATGGAATGCCACAGCGTACCATCCTCACTTTTATCACGAAGCGATAGAGCGGATCCCATGTTACTCTGTAGCTGTATATAGAAGGGGTCATGTGGTGCGCTGCGGGGCGCGTTGCCTGCCACTGTATCAGTAAGTTTGGGGGTGTCCTCCTAGGATCACCCTTTTTCAGGACTCTGCATTATAAGGACTGCGCGTTTCATATTATTTACTTATTAAACAACTATTGTAGATTTATTTTATCTTTTTGGTCTTTTCTTATGGTTTTCTTAGATTTTTTGTATTTGTTTTTCTTGTTATTATTTTTTTTTTTATTTCATTTATTTTTTACCATTATTGTTATTTTATTTTTTGTTTAGTTGCTGTACTTGCGCTCCTCTTTTTCCTTCAAATATTCACAAACTTGACCCAGCACTACTATAGAGCCATTTATTCCAAAATGCATAAAGCTGTTTCTGATCAAATAAATCTACAATAATCGTTTAATTACTTCTTAAACTATTATTGTAGATTTATTTTATCTTTTTTTTTTTTTTTTTGTTCTTTTCTTATGGTTTTCTTGATTTTTTTTTTTCTGATTATTATTTTTTTTATTATTATATTTTCGATTTCTTCATTTGTTTTTTTTTAACATTATTGTTATTTTTTTTTTGTTTAGTTGCTGTAATTGCGCTCTTCTTTTCACTTCCGATATTCACAAACTTCACAAACTTGACCCAGCACTACTATAGAGCCATTTATTCCAAAAAGCAGAAAGCTGTTTCAGATCAAATAAATCTAGTCTGATTGTTAGAGCCCAGTATTGATTATCGGAGTCTGGTACTGATTATTAGAGCCCAGTATTGATTATCGGAGTCTGGTACTGATTATTAGAGCCCAGTATTGATTATCGGAGTCTGGTACTGATTTTTAGAGCCCAGTATTGATTATCGGAGTCTGGTAATGATTATTAGAGCCCAGTATTGATTATCAGAGTCTGGTACTGATTTTTAGAGCCCAGTATTGATTATCGGAGTCTGGTACTGATTTTTAGAGCCCAGTATTGATTATCGGAGCCTGGTACTGATTATCAGAGCCCAGTATTGATTATCGGAGCCTGGTACTGATTATCAGAGCCCAGTATTGATTATTGGAGCCTGGTACTGATTAGAGCCCAGTATTGATTATCGGAGCCTGGTACTGATTATTAGAGCCCAGTATTGATTATCGGAGTCTGGTACGGATTTTTTAGAGCCCAGTATTGATTATCGGAGTCTGGTACTGATTTTTAGAGCCCAGTATTGATTATCGGAGCCTGGTACTGATTATCAGAGCCCAGTATTGATTATCGGAGCCTGGTACTGATTATCAGAGCCCAGTATTGATTATTGGAGCCTGGTACTGATTAGAGCCCAGTATTGATTATCGGAGCCTGGTACTGATTATTAGAGCCCAGTATTGGTTATCGGAGTCTGGTACGGATTTTTAGAGCCCAGTATTGATTATCGGAGTCTGGTACTGATTTTTAGAGCCCAGTATTGATTATCGGAGCCTGGTACTGATTATCAGAGCCCAGTATTGATTATTGGAGCCTGGTACTGATTATCAGAGCCCAGTATTGATTATTGGAGCCTGGTACTGATTAGAGCCCAGTATTGATTATCGGAGCCTGGTACTGATTTTTAGAGCCCAGTATTGATTATCAGAGTCTGGTACTGATTTTTAGAGCCCAGTATTGATTATCGGAGTCTGGTACTGATTTTTAGAGCCCAGTATTGATTATCGGAGTCTGGTAATGATTTTTAGAGCCCGGTGCTGCATTCTGTGGCCAGTCATCATTTAAATATTTTGGTAAGTGTTTTGTCTCTTCCTGATGGCATGTTTATCTTGTGCAGGAATCTCTCCCTCTGCGAAGAGCCCCTCTTTTAGTCGGGTGATAAAGACACGGTACAGGATTGTGAAGAAAATCAGCACCCCTCCTCTCATCTCCTCTCCATTCTTTTTGCTCAA